TTGTTTTGTTTGCAAATGTTTGGGGATTTTTCTGTTGTCTTTTTGATTTTCATTTCTCCTTTGATATCATTGCGGTCAGAGAATACTCTGTATGTATCAGAAGTAACACATATATGGCATATATAGCATATAATGATATTTAGAAATAGGTATAAAAACAAAAAGTGTAAACTTAAATCATTCAAAATAAGGATTAAATATCTTTATACAATTTATAGAAATGAAGGCTGGGATATAGCTCTATGTTACAGTGTTTATGTAGTGTGTACAGGCCCTCTGTTTAATCCCGAGCAGTGCAAAAACAGAACAAAGCAAAATTAATAGAAATGAGCACATCACCTACTTAAAATTTCTTGGCCAAAGGATTATAAAGTAAAAACATTTCTGGACTTTATATAAGAGATATGCCCAAACAAATTGATACAGCATATTTGAAAGTAAATAGACAAGTGATTTAAAAGATAAATAAGTGTGTAAAAAAGAAAAGTGAGTTCTGTGCCAAGAATCAGAAGTGATGCTTATGCATTGAAGGGGTAAGACAGGGACATATAGATAGGGAATGGATAGTTATAGATAGGGAATAGGACTCTGAGATTTGTTGTAGCAATGGCATTTAAGAGAATAAACTTAAAGAGAGAAATAAACTTATGTAAGGCTTACAATATGTCTAGAACTGAATCCTAGAAATCAGATACACAGGAAGAGGATAAATTTCTATGCTAAAATACTTTTAGAGATAACAGTTTTTATTACAGTTTTTGCCATATGGGAAAAACAGGTTATGAAATAAATTTAGTAAACATGAAAAGATATTGTTTAACTTCTTTAAAAAAATTTTAAGGTCTTCAAAGGAATTGCAGTATATTACTGTGAAAATAATCAACGTTGATCTTGAAGTAAAAAGGAATGGAAAGTATGGTGTATTTTTAATCTTCTATTTGTCAGATGCTTTGCTGGTACTTTTACACATATCTCAGTGGCAACAAATACTCAATGCAATGGTTAATTAGATTTCCTCTGTTTTACCCAACATGAAGAAACTGAGATTATAAGGATTAAGTAATTTTTCCAATAGCCTGAAATTATGATGGTGAGCCTGGAATTTGAATACAAATTTGAATGATTAAAAAACAAGTAATAATCTTATTATGGAGACTCAAAGATTTCATTAAAAAACTGCATAAGTGTTGGTTAAGTACACATTCAGAAGTTAAGACTTGAAAAAAATAAAAATGCCAGTTTCTTTCTTTTTGCCACAGAGATTCTTTTTATTATATTTATTTGCTTGTCAGAATTCCAAATAAAAATTCTTTGATAAGTAATGGTAGTTTCACTCTTAGGTCAAGTTCATGGAGTTCAGAGATTCCTTGGAAATCTAGGAATGGAACCACTATTTGACCCAGCTATCCCTCTTCTCATACTGTAGGGACACAGCCACATCAATGTTTATAGCAGCACAATTCACAATAGCTAAACTGTAGAGCCAACCTAGATGCCCTTCAAGAGATGAATGGATAAAAAAATGTGGCATATATACACAATGGGATTTTACTCAGCAATAAAAGAGAATAAAATCATGGCATTTGCAGGTAAATGGATGGAGTTAGAGAGGATAAGGCTAAGTGAAATTAGCCAATCCAGGCCTACTGTGAGCCTAGGTCTTGCACAGGTCCGTTTGGATGGATATGCAGTTGCTGAGTATTTTAATGTACAGGTGTATAATATATATAGAATACACTTTTATTTTAAATAGAAGCAAATGAAGTTTAGCCAACTTAAGGAAAAACTCTACCTTAGATTTTGTTGTTTCATGTGTAATTAAAATATTGATAACTATCATATCATTATGAATTCTTAGGAATAATTAAATAGTATACTATAAGACATTCACTTTGGCAAAAGTTGTTGTGCTGCAGTTGTGTACAATGAATCAAAATGCATTCTGCTGTCATATATACCTAATTAAAATAAATAAATAAATAAATAAATTTAAAAATGACAATGAATAATATGAGCACAGAAGGATAATTCTTAGCTATATTATAAATATACATGTACCTACTTGAGTATAGAATGTATAGTTTGAAAAGAACACTAAATTGGAGAAGTTGGGAAAGGAGATGCCTTTAATTCAATATTTGATAAAACAACATTTAATCCTTTTTCAATAAGTTAGTGAGGTATTATTAGCTTCCAATTTGCAAGTGAGTAAATTGAGGCTCACAGAGGTGAACATTTAACTTGTTTAAGGTTAGCTTCTAATGAATTCCATAGTCCATTGTCTATAGTCTTATTATTACTTACCAGTCCAAGTAACCACTATAAGGTAATTTTTACTCACTATAGAAAGTGTTTCTGGGCATGCTTTGATCTGTAGATATCAAAATTAATTGTGTATGTGAGTTTATGAGCACGTATAAAGAATCAACCAAAATGTTGACTCCGTAGGTTATAGTTTTGACTAATTACAAAACCACATACAAGTGGAAATAGAACTGGTTTTTTGCTCCCCTTTCTGCTGCCATTCATTTTCAGGTAAATACTCTTCCTTGAAAGCATATGTATGTTTTGTGCCCAGTCACTTATTTTAGAAGAATCTTAGTATTGACTCTGTCAAGGGCTCTTGTAGGACACAGGGATATAAAGGTGATTATAAGTCTAGCCTTATCTCAGTCTACCCTAAGAACATAAACACTAGGCAAATAATTGGGATATACTGATCTAAGTGTTAATAGAGAAGGTACAGAATACTGAGAGAGCAGAGTGGCAAACTGCTGAGAGAAGGAAAAGTGAAAAAACAGAGGAAATGACAATGGATCAAAATCACATAGGAAGTCACATAGTACACTCTGGGAATGATACTTGGTTCAGTGTTGCTGATGATAGATGATTAGTAAGCTGTACTAGAGCACAGTAATGGGGAAGTAGTTAGGCATCACATTTTGAGGAGCTTTGTAGACTAGTTTTAGGACTTAAGAATTTGGTTTTTATATTGTAGGTAATAAAGAGCTATTAGAGAATTTTAAGAAGGAAAATGGGATAAGAGGATGGGTTAGATAGGAGGCAAGGAGCCCAGATAGAAGATTATTTGTGGTCATCTGGGAAGAGATGGATGATAGTATGGGAACTGGCTCATGAATTTTGGAAGATATTTGAAAAATATTTGAAAGATAACAAAAATTAAATGACCAAAATGCTTTGTATTTATAATGCTTTGAAGCTTCACTATTACTGAGTATGCATTTTCTATTTTGATACTGCCAATAAATTAGAAAAGTAGATAGTTCAGATAGATATTTTTATTTCATGAGGAAATTGAGATCTTGAAAGATTAAAACTTAGCCAGGGACACTTAGCTAGTGAGTGATAGCATGACCATGAGCCAAAGCATAAACTTCAAGTTCAGTGCTCTTTTAAATTCTTCCTTACCAACTTTATGCAGTGTCTAAGCATTTATTAATTGATACCAAAGCCTTACCACAATGGGGGCATATTTTAATTTATTTACTTAATATTTATTTTCATTAGTTATGTTAAATGCCTAAAAAATAGGGGTAGGATCAGTTAAGTGAGATCAATACAATGTTCCACAGGTCCATATGAATATCTAGAAGGTGCTTTCCAGTTAAGGCATTGCATGTCAAAATGCTTGTGAGTATGAGAGTGAATATGATGTATTTATTAGAAGTTCTGTTGCATGTGACTGTTGAAAATAGTGGTTGGCTTTTGTCAGAGACTATGCTTACTGTAATCAGTGTAAAAGACAAGTACAGTAAGGATCCTTAACATGCACCATTAAATTGATTTTTTACTCATTAGGGATTATGCATTATCTTCCCCATATATACATAACCTCTAAAAGTGCCAGAAAGAACAGAACTGTATCTTTATTTTCTCATCACATCCTCTCTCACATAGATAATACTTTCATTGCTCTTTTCCAACTTGGCTTTGAGTCACTACTGTGATTCTAGCTGTTGAGCAGTCTTTCAAGTTAAGTGATTAGTATTCTGGTCAAGTGAAAATTGTTGTGAAGCTGGCATTTTTACTCAGTATAGCCAAGGTAGTTTTGCTAAATCCATTATCAGGGTCATGTTGTTAGAGGCATATAATAATTGCATTTTACAAAACTTCCCTAATATTGATATTTGATATTTGCAGGAAATTGAATCTAAAAATCATATACTTCTGAGGTTGGAGGAAGCAATGATCAGTCAGGTTCCATAAACCACCTTTGTACTGCTTAACATTTTACAGGAAAAATTAAATTGCTCTCCTAGTTTTGTCTTACCTGGTTAAATTGTGCTGTTGTATTAATTAAATCAAAGGAAATATTCTAATTAATTTCCATCATAATTGGGAACCATGGTAAGTTATAGTACTTTGTAAAGTATGAAAACCTGTTGGGTACCACCTGGTGACAAGTAGATATCAGTTCATCACCAGGCTCTATTCCATTCTCACTGTATCTAAATGTGTGAACCTCTTACCATCTGGGTACTTTAGTTTCTCTCTACATTAAAATGAAAGAAGGAAAGGAGATAGGGAGGGAGTGAGGAAGGAAAGTTTTACCTAATACAAAGATTTTTGAAAGATAATGGGAAATCATTAAAGGATTTTTGCCAATATATGCTATTTACTACTTGAAATTTGTAACCATTTTAAAATACTAGCTTTTACAGTGCTATTTTAAAATAAAAATATACTTCAAAAAGCCATTTGCTCTTTTTGTGTACTTCATTGCTTAGAATTTTTATTTTTAGAATAGAGTGTATTTAAAGATCACTTTTACTGTTGAATTTGACAGGCATGGCAAGAGGCCAATCTAATGAGCCCAAAGGGAGAATTTGCAGAGTGTGCAGGTTAAAGGAGGCTTGGAACTGACTTTCCATGAAGAGTAGGCTATCCATGTTCATTCCTGCTGAGTGGAAATTTGCTTAAAGTTGACTGTTTTCTTCCTTCTGTACCATCTGATTCCAATCTACACTTGTCTTTTATAGCTAGAGACAGTTGGATGGCAGCTTAACCTTCAAATGGCTCACTCTGCTCAAGCAAAACTGAAATCTCCTCAAGCTGTGTTACAGCTAGGAGTGAATAATGAAGATTCAAAGGTAAGAAATGGTGTCCCTTTGAAATATGATGTTTTTGTTTGTTAGGTCTTATAATTTATTGATAGCAGAGTCTTTGCTCTTTGGATTTAAAATTTAAACATGAATCAGGTGAATTAAATAAGGATTAATAAATTGACAGATCTTTACTTGTGGCAGGTTTTGATGTCAGATTTAAATATCATGTCTTTATGTATCTGAAGAAGTAGCCTATCTTGAAAGGTACCTTTTTTTGTAAAAACATTTTTGTTTTGGTGCTGAGACCTGGGAATGAATTGTATGAACATTTTATAATGTTTTCTTTTAAATTCTACAAAGGAAAAATTTGGTGGAGATCATGTAAAATTACAATTTTAAAGTTTTAGGTATTTGTGAATATTGCTGGGTGTTTTATGGTTTAAACTGCATATATATGGTATAGGATCTATTATTTGCTGTTTCTTATATGAGTTTATCTCATTTTAAGATAAACAGTTGAGACTGAAGTGCTATGAAAGATCTGAGGAAGGAGATATTGTTTACAATGGCTGAATGTGATTAGAGAAGAACAGCATTTATGATGGCCATTGAAGGGTGGAAATGATACTTCTTTGGCAATGTTTATTACAACATTCTTTGGCAGTGTTTATTACATCTTTCATTATTGTTTATTGCATTATGCACATATCTGTATTTAAAAAACTGGAACCTGGGGCTAATCTAAGTTACATGACTACAAAATTTTATGCAATTTAGATCTTATGTGTAATTTATTAGTTTATTGCAGTGTTTCAAAATGTCATTTCATGTTTTTACTGGGAAGTCATATAAACTTAGTGGTTAAAAGTCAAACTGGTATATTATGCAAGTTAAGAGGGGTGTAATCTTGGTTATGGTACTTAATCTTTGTGTCAATTTCTACACTTGTACAATGGAGATAATTGTTTCTATTTCACATAATTTTTGTAAAGATTTAATGCGTAGTGTATGTAAAGTCCATTGCTTGCTATTATGGTAAGTGCTCAGTAAGTGCTGGCTACTAACATCATCAGTAACACTTTTGAGGGTTTAAATAAATAAACAAATACCCTTGTTTTAGGCCAAAATTCTCACTAAATTTATTTCCTAATGAGATTATTACTTTTTCTTTTCTAATTTCTTGATTCTTACTCCCTTTTTTTCCTTGATCATATTTTTAATATTTATGCTTGCTGGGAATTTGGGAGGGAAAGGACAGCCCACAAAGTCCCTTTTTCTTCTATGAACTGGGGAGCCATTTCTTTAAGTTTAGGAAAATGATCTGGAATGCCCTGGTGTAAATTGGGCTATTCCATGAATAGAATACGTACCTCTGTATGTACATACATACTTAGAGTATCTTGTTTTATTCCTTTTGACTACAGTATGTTAAGTTTGAGTATAAATTGCTAGAAGCATTTTATAGATTGGAAGCATACTGTTTTGACCATATATTGGAGATACTTTAAGCATTATGACTTTGCAGTGCTTGACTTTGGGATGCTCAAGTCCTCCCTGCTCCTTTATTATAGCTTCACAATATGCCTATGTATCTGTTATATTTTTAGACAGAGGGAATGAATGAGTAATGCTTGTAATAGAACAGCCATATTTTAAATTCATATTATTCAGGAAGTCAATACAGATGTGAAGCTCAACTCATTTGAGATATGGGCTTTGAGTACATTTATGTTTTTCTGTGTTGCTATTTTGAAATTTTGAATGAATACCATTATATATGCACATTCATTAGCCTTATAATTATTAGTGCTACAGCACCATTTTCATTAACAGACACAGGAATAATAGCAGCACCCAAATATACAGGATATGTCTTTTTCATCTTCTATGCAGACTTCAGTGACTTGTTGTCTGTATTGCCTCTCTTTTCTATGGCATTGTGTGGATTTGGGTTTTATTGCTTCTATCTCCTGAGCAACGGACACTGCCAACCTGCACAGAAACATGCTACCTTCAAGTGATGCTGTGACCTATCTGTAAAGGACAGTTAAATACTATACCTGTTTCGCTCAGTGAACTGCCTTCTAGAAGTTTTGCTTTTTTATTTTGTTTACATTTTCCTGTTTTATTACCTGTATTCTATTCTTCATTCTCTTACTTCATCCAGCTCCTTGATGTTAATTTTTGCATATTAAGGACCATGTATTTCTTTTCCCCCCAATATTTGTTGTTTTAGTCAGCTTTATTTTGTTTCTGTGATCAAAAGACCTGACAAAAACAATTTTACAAAAGGAAAAGTTTATGTGGGGCTCAGGGTTTCAGAGCTCTCAGTCTATATGGCCAGCTCCATTGCTCTGGGCCCAAAGTGAGGCACATCATAACTGACGAAAGGGTGTGGAGGAGGGAAGCAGCTCAGGACATGACTATCAGGAATCAGAGAGAGAGCTCTGCTCAACAAAGACAAAATATAAACCCCAAAGGTACACTCCCAGTGACCACCTCCTCCAATCACATCCTAATTGCCTACAGTTAACACCCAGTTAATCCTTTTAGGTAGATTAATGTTCTGGTTGGTTTAAGGCTCTCATAACCCAATCATTTCACCTCTGAATGTTCTTATATTGTCACACATGTAAGTTTTTTGGGGACATCTCATATCTAAACCATCACATTTGCTTTGTGCAGAAATGAAAATTCAGAATTATTGACAGATTGGAACATTAAATAAAAAGAAACAAAAAGAATATTAAATAAAAATAATAAAATAAAATATTAAATAAAAAGAGTATTCTGTCATGGAGCATGTTTTTCAAACTAATATTTTTAGAAAGGAAGATTAAAAAGTACTGTTTAGTTTATGATGCAAAGTACTATAAAGTACCAAATTGGTGTTTAAGACAGGAAGCATTAGACTATTTTAAATTTAAAAGTATAAAATTCATTTAAATTTAGTTATCCTACAAATATGCATATATTAAACTGCTTTGGAGAGCATTAGCATCAGGGTAAATTGTAAGAAAGTATTTTGATATTGTTTACTTTTGAGCTGTTGAACTGAAAACTTACTGTAATTCACTGAAGAGTAGTTTCTAAGGAGCTCTTTTTCTTCTTTTTCACTTCCAACATTCACATGAAAAATGTAGCCTACAATGAAGGCTACATTTTAATTGCTATCATACTAGATAACATTGTTGGACTGTGGTCTCCTTTCTCTTAGAACATTTCTGTCTCAAGGCTTTCCTGTTTTGCTACTAATTTTATCATGAAACTGGGTGATTGTAGCTTTCCTACAGTATTTTGATATATTTTCAGGTTGTTTTCAGTTAATTGTCTTAGTGTTTGTCTATTGCATTTTTGCAAAATAAGATTATTTTCTTGTTGTACATATACTTCAAAACAAGTTTTCTGAAGTTTTTTTTTCCTCTGTTCTTTTCCTTCTTCTTTATTTTTTTTATTTTTTGGTTTATTTCGTTAGAGGGCAGTAGAGCGCTTTGCTTACCTAACCTTTTCAGGCATTCAGTGTTATTTGAAATAACATTCAAAATAACTTGTGAAGTCAGTAGTTATGGGAAATGCAAAGTGTTTGCATTTCTAATCTGTATATAACAATAGATTTCTCTTGTTTCTATCAACAGAATTAATGCCTATTAATCAGATGTGGATAGAGCAAATAAATGAAATCATCATAATTCAGCTTTTGTTAATTTGTATGTGATCATTTGCCAAAATGAATTTTTTAAAAAAGCCTTCTATAGTATTGACTTTTTCGTTACATTCTGTCATTTACAGTATTTTCTTTATGAGAAAAGGGAATACGATAATTCCCAAGAAAATTGAATAGCTCTATTAGGTTATAGTTTAACTAGTTCCAGGCTAATTATAGACTGTTGAATTTTTTTTTTTTTGTTTACTTATAGAAAATATGTAACAAATATTGCTAACTCTGAATGACATCAGTACTTTAACTTTGAATGTTCTAATGTAAATATTAAAAGCATTGAAATATTTACACGTTGCTCTTATTTCATATCCATCAATGCAATCATATTTAGTTAATATGAGGATTTAACAATTTATCGTATATCTTTTAAGAAAGAATTATTGTGTTTCATTTTGCTTTTTTTCTTTTGCAACAACTGGGATAAAATTACCTTGATGAAATCTTTCATTTTTCTTGATGCTAAAAACTGAATTATACTTAGGCTGTGAAAGGTACTTTTTGGACCAATAATTATGACTTTGAGTAAACTTAGATATCTTTATACCAGTTTCTGAGGTAAAGATCTTCATTTTTATTTCCAAAATGTACAATTCATTTTATTAAGAATGAAAAAAAGGGACTTTTTCTCCTGTTTACTTAGTATTAGACATGATATTATCTCTTAATGCTTAAAATATCCTTTCAGGTATGAATTGTTATTATCTTTATAAATGGAGAAGTAGAGGAAATACAGAGGTTAAATAATTTTTCCAGATTTGTCATTCAAATATTTATTAGGTTTATTTCAGAGTCCTGTGTTGTGTTATCTTCATTGGTAGGGTACTATATCATTTTACTTATTTAATAATTTAGTACTTGATCCTATAATATGAATACATTTCAAGATGTTGAATACATTATAAAATGCAAAGTTTTGTTATTATTTTTCTTAAATTAGAGTTATTTTGATTCTAAATTTTATTTTTCTCTTCTTTTTATTTGATTAAGGTGAAAAAATTTTACACTTTTAGTGAGACACTTATTTACTGTTATGTAGTAAGTAAAGTAATATATGATATCAGTTCTATTGAGTCTACGTTTATTAACAAAGGGCTATATTACATCACTGACAAAGAAATGTGCTATATTACTTGAAGAGAAAAATATCCTCAGATTTATTTAGGAGAGATGTCTCAAAAAAATAAAGTGTGCTAATCAAATCATAAACTCTTATTATAGAAATTGAAATATTTAGAAATTTTTTGTTTTTATATTGGGGATTGAACCCAAAGTTGCTTAACCAGTGAGTCATATCCCCAGCTTTTTTTCATTTTTTATTTTGAGA